TTCAAATCTTTTATCCATTTTTTATTGTTTGGTTTTTTATTATGAGTTTAGTCATCTTTATGTATTATGGATATAAATCTTGTATCAGATAGATTTGACCTGTAAATATTTTCTCCCCGTCTATAGCTTGTCTTTACTTTTCCTTAATAATCTTTTGAAGAGCAGAAGCTTCTGACTTTAATGAAGTCCAATTTTCAATTTTCTCTTTTATGGATCATGCTTCTTGTGTGCACAGGGCAAACACCCAGGAGACTGGCCCTGCCTGCCAGCAGCAGCAATGATTTCCTATCCAGGAGCCTAGCTTCTTCTTGAGCTCACCACTCAGAAACCTTCACTTCACCTTAATTTCTGCAATATTCTCCCCTAATTCATTCACTTAAAAGTACATAGGGGCTACACATTTATTCATGTTATTTAGTTAACATGGGTTTCATGTTAGAAAGGAGCTCTCAGGTTAACTGATTTAAATAGATGCCTCAGAAAACGACAAGTAATTTTTGTTTATTTGGGATCTTGCTCTGTATCTCACATTCCTGTCTCTGAGAAGTCAAAGCTACATCAGATTTCAAACATTAATCAAATTCCTGACATACCTGTTGAAAATGGCAGATACTGATTAAATTCCATATTAAAGGTCAGAGGTTATTTTCTAAAAACAGTGCAGAAAATGTTAACTTCTATTAGGATAATTACACTCTTTCTAAAAAATTTTTTTAAATTATACATTCTTGAGGCGCCTGGGTGGCTCAGTTGGTTGAGCGTACAACTTCAGCTCGGGTCACGATCTCACAGTCTGTGAGTTTGAGCCCCGCGTCGGGCTCTGTGCGGACAGCTCGGAGCCCGGAGCCTGCTTCGGACTCTGTGTCTCCTTCTCTCTCTGCCCCTCCCCCACTTGTGCTCTGTCTCTATAAAAAAATAAGTAAAATGTTTAAAAATTTTATACATTCTTATAAACTAAGAAAGTATATACTTTAAAAATTCTTGAGATTGGGGCGCCTGGGTGGCGCAGTCGGTTAAGCGTCTGACTTCAGCCAGGTCACGATCTCGCGGTCCGTGAGTTCGAGCCCCGCGTCGGGCTCTGGGCTGATGGCTCAGAGCCTGGAGCCTGCTTCCCATTCTGTGTCTCCCTCTCTCTCTGCCCCTTCCCCGTTCATGCTCTGTCTCTCTCTGTCCCAAAAATAAATAAAAAACGTTGAAAAAAAAAATTTAAAAAAAAAAAGTTCTTGAGATAGAACATGTAATAAGAAGTTTCAGGACAAGATCTTTAAGGCAAGATAAATACCGGCTTAGCACAGCTAAAACTGATTTGGGGGGCACGTGGGTGGCTCAGTCAGTTGAGCGTCCGACTTCGGCTCACGTTATGATCTTGTGGTTCGTGAGTTCTAGCCCCACATTGGGGGCCAACTTGGCTTTAACTCACAACACTGAGATCATGACCTGGGCTGAAGTCAAAAGTTGAACGCTTAACCAACTGAGCAACCCAAGTTCCTCTATCTTTTGAGTTTTCTGCCATGAATCCAAAATCATTTTATGCAGTGCCCAATTCCCATTCATATTGTAGTCTATCAGTAACAAGTCCTATGTATGTGTATCTTGTGTCTCTCTTCTTAGAAGGACACCAGTCATTAGATTTAGGGCCCACCTTAATCCAGTATGACTTTATCTTGATTTGATTACATCTGCTAAATAAGCCCACATTCACAGATACCAAGTGCACACAAATGTGAGGGAGACAGTATTCAATTCAGCACAAGCTCCTATCACCTACTCAAAAACTTAAATACATAAGTGAAAGTTTAAACATTAACTGGAAAAAAACGTTCAAAGGCTCATAAATTTTAAGAATAAGAAAAGTCAGGGGCACGTGGGTGGCTCAGCTGGTTAGGCGGCCGACTTTGGCTCAGGTCATGATCTCGAGGTCTGGGAGTTCGAGCCCTGCGTCGGGCTCTGTGCTGACAGCTCAGAGCCTGGAGCCTGTTTCGGATTCTGTGTCTCCCTCTCTCTGACCCTCCCCTATTCATGCTCTGTCTCTCCCTGTCTCAAAAATAAATAAAACGTTAAAAAAAAAAGTCAACTCTTTTGAAGCCTAGAAAATCTTGCATTCTCCCCTAAAATGAATGTTCGTTAAAGCCCCCTGACATACAGATTTTTTTCTAAATCATTTGCTTGGAACATGTAGTGATTCCCCCAGGGCAACACCACCAATACCCCATTTTACAAAATAAAGCTTAAGTATTAAAGAGCTGTAATAAAAGGCTGAGTAGATACAACAGAGTGTGTGAACCACAGGTCTCCTCATTTGCTCCCTCTCACTTGGTAGAATAAACTCCATTATAATGGCTTTTCAAGCTTTTTTTGTGATTCACAGTAAGAAATACATTTATAGGATCATGGTATGTATGTATGTTTCTATGTGTAAACAAAACAATACTTACGTTTATTATAAACCCTTTAACACTTGTTATTCTGTTGCATTTCTCCTAATGCTTAATTAGTTTCAGGACCCACTTGAAAATCTGCAGTTTGGAAAACCCTCCCCCACAGTAAACCCTGTTGACAGTAAGATGCAACTGACTGACAGAACAACAGCTAAGAAGGAAGCAAGTTTACCAGGTTCCTCACAGGGAGAGGAGGCATTGGGAGGAAGAGGGAAACAAAGTGAAGCAATTGGCTCTTCTTTTGCTGTTGTCCCATCATATAAGGCTTCTTTGAAGTAGAGACATATTTGAGAAAGATTGGAGAAGGACCTTTCTCCTAGGCTTCCACAAACTCTGGTGGGCAAGGCTCACAAGCACAAGTTTGTCTTCCAGATTCAGAGGGTTAGAGAAAGACAGGACAGGAACCACTTTGTTGCAGTTGCTTCACCATTTCCTGGTTTGATGTCCTGCTCCCAGCATCTCTACCAGGAAACTCTTCCTTTTGCAAGGCAGAACTGAGCAGAGGCCCCTGGTCTGCGGAGGTCATGGCTGGAGCTAGCAGACCCAGGACGCACAGCACTCCACAGAAACTCTACATGAGTGAAACGTTGAGTAAAGGTTGCAGCTCTTTATACACATTTTTATTCATTTTTAATTTATTTGAGAAACAGAGACCGTGGGAGAGGGGCAGAGGGAGAGAGAATCTGAAGCAGGCTCCATGTTCAGCGTGGAGCCCAACATGGGCTCAATCCCAGGACCCCGGGATCATGACCTGAGCTGAAATCAAGGGTCGAACACTCAACTGACTGAGCCACCCAGCCACCCCTTTACACACATTTTTAGTCACTAGAATTCTGTCTCTGAAATAACTGAGGTAAACTATCTGCTTTAGAACTTTTCTGGACTGTGGTCCTGAGTGGTTAGAAAAACCAGAAAGAGAGAGAAAAAGAGAGAGAGAGAGAGAGAGAGAGAGAGAGAATGGGCTGTTGTTCATTCAACAAGTCTTCACTGGATATCTACTGTAAGTCAGGTTCTGAGTAGTACCTACTAATGGACAGAGCATCTGTAAAAGATCCGAAAAATTTAAAAATATTAAAAGTTTCCTTGAAGCAATTGCTATGATACATATTAATCATAAATAAATTCTGTATTTACTCATGAAAGCCCCTTGGTGGATCCCAGAGTGATGAGGATACATGAAGCACAGATCATAGTCCCTTCCCAGTCCATGTTACATTAGTGAGAAATAAACCTTGGTTGCTGTAAACCACTGAGATTCAAAGAGGACTTCAACTACCTCCATTTTGACCACAGTCGGTATTCTCTAAGTGTTTCTTTCCAGTTTATCTCTAAACTCAGCAAAATACTCACAAGGCAATGCATCCCATGCTGAGAACCAAAACTACCCCTCAAGAAATAAGGACTGCCCTGATGCCAACAAGACCTTGTGTGACTGACCTGAGGACAATGATCAGCCTGCCCCTGTCCCACCCCTTATATAAACCTGGAAGTATTTTCAGCCCTTTGAGACGCTAGCCCACTGTCTTCCCGGTGTGGGCCTCGGGGAAGTAAATTCTTGTTTCACCACCATTCCTATCTCTACCTTTGGATTTTGTCAGCGGTAAGTGGACAAATCTAGACCGTTTGGGACCCTGGAGTTGGGTGCTCTCGCACCGTAGGGCCCAGATTACAAGATTTTGGAGTCATTTGTTACCACAGTCTAGGTAAAGCTAACTAATACAGCAGCCACGTTTTTCATCACGCAAACTAGAGACACAGAAAAGCCTCTCCCCGTTAAGAGTTATTTAGTGAAGTCCTCATACAAACACCGGTGACAATTTGAATACTAATGAAACAAAAATGAGCTGGAAGAGCCATTGAGAAACAAAGCAGAAGGGCTAGTCTGTAACGTAATAAAGAGGCATGGTGCTTAAATGACATCTATCGTACACTTAAAACGTCAATATTTTTGCATATGCAAATTAAAGCAGACATCGTTCCCGTAAAACTTTACAATTTACGAAACAGTTTTATTAGAGTTACACTCATTTTACAGACTAGTGAACTGATGCGCAATAGTAAACTGATGGTATGGTGACCTCAACTCCCAGGTTTGCTGTCTCCAAAGTCTCTTATTTGCCCCACATCACACTTGATAATTGATACTTGATAATGCAAAACACTGTTTTTTTAATCGGTATAAAACTTGGGGTGGAAAGGCCTGGATAACCCTAATAAGCATAACCATCTCACCTACACATCGTCCCCAAAGGGCATCTCCCACTCGTCACCCCCAACCGCCCACCAGCGACGAATCTGATCGGACAAAAAGCTTACGTCAGCACAGCGCTCCTCATCCCACCGTTTTTGTCCTCCACCCTTCCCGAAAGGCCAAGCGGCGAGCAGAAGAACCAACGAGAGGGGAGCGAACGTGATTGGGCTGCCTGCGTCACGTGACGACCACGAGGCGTAGGATTTGGCTCGGAGCAGACGGAAGCGCCGCGCGTGGAGGGGGGGGGTCAAGACTGGGAGGGGGGAACTGGAAGCTCCGGGGAGGAGCCTTGAGCGTCCGCCGCTGTCCCAGTTCTGCCAGCAATCGTGTCCAGTCTCTGATTATTGTTGTACCGCCGTTGGTACGCCGCGGTACTACGGAGACCACTCGTTCGCCTGCCCAGCAGGAGTAGCCGCTGACTAGAGCGGCAGCGGGGAATGGAAGCGGAGAACGCGGGCAGGTAAGCCCGAGGCGGAGCGCCGCCCTTCCCCCCAGCGCCCCTCGCGGCGGGGTTGGCCGGCGGGCGCGCGCACGCACGCAGGGGTCTTTAAAGGCCGCGGCCGGAGTACAAAGACCTGGCCTGCGCGTGCGCACTGCCACCCTCCTCGGGCCGCTCGGAAGCGGCGCCACCTGTACCTGTGCCCTTCTTCCGGCCTTCCCGGCATCCAGCCGGCTTTAACAGGCGTTAATAAGCGACCCACAGGGTCCGGTTAATATCTCTTTCCGGTTGTCATTCTTGGCTACGTTTGCCTTCACCCTCCGTTATTATGCGAAGAGCTGTAAAGATGGAATATCACGCGTATCACTTCTGGAGCTCTAATTTTAAAATTAGTAGTTTTATTGTGGCTTCCTTTCCCGTAGGTTTAGGAAGATCAACGTCAGGGGCCACAAGGTGGATACCATTGCCGTACAAAGTCTCTTGAATTCTGTATTATGACTAATACTCCCAAGTAGTCATCTAAAAATGCTTTCTGGTGATCTTGGGGGGTGAATTTAATCAACTTTTCAGTATGTCCTTTGAGGAGTGTTAGATTCGTGGAGAGAACGTTTGGCAAACGCAGAGATTGCGAGATTCGAACTCCTCGCAGAAAACTAAATGAAAAAAATCATTAGATAGGGTAGCAAGATCCTTAAGAAAAACTAATGATTTACATTGGAATAAAATTCTGTAAGATCTAATAATTTTCCGGACTCTCCGGGGCCCTGAACTTAGGCAAGACACTTCACTTCTCTGGGCCTGTTCATGTCTGTAAAATAGGACATCTCTGGAATCCAGTTCTGACATGCTGTGAATCTGTGTTATGTGGAAGGGATTAGATCACCAAAACAGTCTTTAGAGGTTAGGAAAGGAGGTATATAAAGTGTGGTCTTTATCCTGGCTTTTCTGGTCAAGTCCTGAAATAAAGTACTGCACTTCCTTCCCAAAAGAACTTTACATTTAAAAGAATTCACCAGAACTTATGAAATTCACTCCCACCTTTGCGATCTTACTTCAGATCAGTACTGAAACCTGGGTGAAGTCTACCATCAAATGAATTACACATTAGAAGACCTTGCTCAGTGCTTCAGAGCAAAGTAATAGGTCTCTGGTACGATGTTTACCTAAAATTTGGCTTATATGCTGTCTTAACCCGTCCACAGGGTTATAGATCATTTTTAATTTGACTCACAAAGTTTTAACCTCAGGAAATAGAGAATTTTGTGTTAGTAGTGTAAGGGCTTTATCCTTGGGGATTCTGAGATGACTGAGGCCCCAGATAATCCTGAGAAAGTGGTTCTCTGTCACTCTTGACTTCATGCTAATCAAGGAGTAGAATGGAATGCCGGATATAATGAATTTACTTTTTATTTTGGAAGAGTAATTTCAAAAAATTCAAAGGAAAAAATTCCATTAATATGGACTCTTTTTTTAAAAGAGAAGATAGTTCAAGTATCATAACAAATAATGTCTACCCAGAGACGAAAAAAGGAAGGAGAGGATCAGTATGTATCTAATGAGCTTTGGCATGGAAGGGACATTTATCAAAAATGGAAAGTAGGATGCCAAATCAAAAATGACTTTGTAAAAGTGTGACATGGGCTACTGAAAATACAGACTGGAAAGGTTAACCCTTAAATGAAATCAGCCTTTCTGGAAATGTTAGGGACCAAAAAGAACTTTTTTAGTTAGGTGTTGACATCGAGGGCAAGAAAGGGTTGGATTTTCTGCCTAGTCCACCGGCATGGTGTTAGTAGATAACAGGAAACAAACATTTGGTTCTAATTTTTCTTATCTCTATGTTAAGAAAAATGATTAGAGACAAGAAATGGCAGAATGAATGTCTTTAAGAGACAAGATCAATGAGGGCATTTAAGAGAACTTTCAGCTGCTGTAAGAGAAATCCAGTTTCCTGGCCTGGATAAATTATATGTCAAATGAGAAGCTAGATTACAGCAATCTTTAAGAACTTGCAGATAACAGGAGAGAGACCTGAAGCCTGAAAATAAACACATGAGTTCCTGTTTCTTCCTAGGTGGAGTCTGTCTTCTAATTTATTGACTTTGATCCTAAACAAAATTTTTACTTTTCAGTGGTTATTGAGCATATTTAAAAGGAACCAGTGGCCACTAGGTTACAGTATAATTTGGGAAAAAAGCAAGATGTATCAAGCTAGGTTCATTCCCTTTTGGATAATGATACTGGACTAGACAGCATCAGGATGATGCTGACAGGAGGTATCTAAAAATTTAATCCTGTACTGCTGTCTTTATTATTATTATTATTATTATTATTATTATAGCAAAATTATTATATACCAGGCACTGTTTTAAGTGTTTTACATATGTTGACTAATTTCATCCTCATAACCAACAAATTAGGTACAACTATTTCCATTTTGCAGATGTGGAAACTGGGACGCAGAGTTAGGAACTTGAGCAGAGCTGAAATTTGAACGCAGGCAATGTGGCCCAAAGTCTGCCTCCCTGACAACTGTGCCACATATCACTTCTCTGTGGGCAAGACGAAGACGGACTGATGGCAGTCCAGTTAGGTGGAATCAAAGCTGGTTTACTGCCGAAAGAATCGAGGGCAGGCTGAAGAGAGGTCTATATTGATGTGCCTTGTCGTTCTACCCCAACTTGTTCTTTTCAGCAATTTAACAACTTCCGGGTGCTGTTGGAATGCTGATAAGATTTGTGAATGACCCAACTCTGGAAGAAGTTTGTGGAATTGGTAGTTTCAATCAGAATCCATATCCTAACAGCTGGAGTGTTGAATCATCTTTTACCAAAAGAGGCACAGTTCTGTGCTGAGGTGCAGAAGTATCAGTGATGTGAGGGAGAGGTAATAAAAGGGCAGTTTTCATTGACGTTAAACTCAGTTTGAATCAACAGTATAGTGTGGGTTCTAGTAAAGTTAATGTAATGGATTCTGCAGTAGGACTCCAGGATGAGGAAGCTGAGCCCTGCTCGGTTTCAGGATGATGAAGCTGTATCTGGAGAATTTTTATTTTGTTTTCTTTTAAGCACCAAAAAATGACAAAGTAGTGTAGAAACTTGAAGTCATACTATATGAAGAAGAGTTGAATGAATTGGGGACTCTGGCTTGTTCTAAATCTTTGTATTTATAGTTCCTAGTAGACTATGTACAGTAAATACCCAGTAATGTGTGGTGAATACACACAGTTCCACTTTGCAGTATTAAATGTAGTCTTTAAATAGTTATGACAGTATTCCATTGTAGTTTATATACCTAATTCTCTTTAGTTGAGAATTTAGATTATTTAGCACTGATTTTGTGTGTGTGTGAGTGTTTTGTTGGGGGGGGAGAGAGAGAGGGAGGGAGGGAGAGAGAGAGAATGAGAATGAGAATATCTTAGGCAGGCTCCACACTCAGCACGGAACTTGAGGGGTTGAACACGATCCACGCCAGCCTCTGTCTGACCTGAGCTGAAATCAAGAGTCAGATGCTCAACCGACTGAGCCACCCAGGCACCCCATTGATTATTATTTTGTAATTATTCAGTGTTGTATAATCATATTAATAGGAATATTAAGTGAATAATAATATGAATATTATTAATAATATTAATATTAAGTGAAAATAATAAAATATTGCTATGAATTGTGTTCTTCTAAAATGCCTGTGTTGAAACCTAATCCCCAATGTAATGGTATTTGGAGGTGGGCCCTCATGAATGGGATTAGCACCCTTTTAAAAGAGGTCCTAGAAGAGGTCCCTCACCTCTTCCATTTTGTGAAGATACAGCAAGAAGGCCACCCCTATGAACCAGGAAGTAGGCTCTCAGCGGACACTAAATGGTGTTTTGCTGTAGCAGCCCAAGAGGACTAAGACAAATGTATATAGAAAAGAGCAACTTAAATCTTTAAAATAGTGGAAAATACCTGAGTATTAAAGAAGTTGGAGGTGTTCATTTTAGAGAAAACCTTAAAGAGTTAGTTTTTGAAGTACAGCAAAATCTGAATTAATTGGACTCCTCAGTCAGCTGTGTGTGTGTGTGTGTGTGTGTGTGTGTGTTTTAAGTAAGACTGTTAGGAAATACACAATTCATTAGGAAAATACACAGTATATCAATTTCAGACGGCTGTAAAAACCAGTGCTTTGGGCACTGATGTTCAAGGGAAAGGGTGTGCATCTCTGATTTGGTCTTGTCTGGTATCTCTGCCGTGTGCTTCCCTGCTCAGATGCCCTCTACCCTCATGCCACTGGGGATCATGCCAGAGATCGATTCTGAGAAAGCAAGACCCAGTTTTGTTTGCCTGTGTCTCTGTTGGGTAATACTGATTGTGTTTATATCGTTGTATATCGACGTGGATGTCATATCTAATTTTGGGGGCGGTTGTCTCTTAAGTTATGACTTGATGGGAGGCATAAGGTTGCTAGTGAGGCTTCTGTCTCTAGTAGCATCCAAGCAGAAAGACTAAGACTCGCTAGGGAACTAATTGCTGGCTGCCCTGGGGTGTGACTACATCATACTTCCAGACTGAAAGACCCACCAAGGCCAGAATTCAAGGAAATGTGTGCTAGGTCCTGGCACTGCCTTTGCCAGAAGCAGAACAGGCACCAAAGAACCCGAGTGGAAGAGACAGTCTTACTACCTTAGCTGAGTTTCACACATTTCTGGATAATGAAGAGACCTGTATTCATCGGGGTGGGTAACCATGGAGGGCTAGTCAAGGGTGTGGTTGGCCTGTGATGCTTTTTGGAGGAGTGAAAAATGAGTAGGTGTCCTCCCGCCCTCCAAAAAGGGGGGTGTGAATGGAGCCTAGGAGAGAGGAAGGGGTGAGCTTCAGGCAAAGGAGAGGCACAGAACAGTGTGGGGACAAACCAATGATAGGGAAGAAAAGTGAGCAAGGGGAAATAAGGTCATCCCTCATGCTTGGAAATTTGATACTAAATTTGAGTTACAGAAAATAAAAACTCTGGGATCTGGACAGATTTGGTCCCATTTCCTGTACATCGTCCACATATGTAAAAATCATTTTCATGGTGAGAGAAGGAGTCCGAGAGGAGGAGTGATGACCAAGTGCTCTTGTGTCGCCGTCCCTCGCACAGAGAAAACAGGCCTTGTAAAGTTGGCGTGATTCTGAATTACAAAGGGGCAAGTGTATATAAATACAACAAATGTATTAAATATCTTCTAATTAAGGTTGAACAGGTTTATGCTGCTTACAGTTGTAATTATCGCTGGATAATAGGAAATTGAGTTATCTAGAACTCTAGTTTCCTAGCTTTGAAGTCCTTGAAGGTTTTTTGCTTGCTTCTGGCAAATAATAAGAATGTTGTGTCGCACTCTCTTTCCTTTTGTTCTGTTAGGAAGCCGTTGAGATGATAAGACTGAATTTAATACTCAAGATAGTGTATTATCTTAGAACTTACACATCGTATTTCTCATTTCTTTATTTTTCTATTTCTGTTCTATTTTAACTTCCTGTAAAGTACCAGAGGTCATTTTTAGAAACATTAAGGGACATGCTGATATTATAGATAAGTTTCTCAATTTCTTTCAAAATTGATATATATCTCTAAAATAATACTTCTGGGTTTTTTTCTTCCTTTTCATTTTTTTCCTCAGCCAACTGATTTCTAAACTTAATTTTCAGGTTCTGCACTTCACATCTAAGTATGACCCTGAAATATGCGAAAGCCACATTTTGGAAATTTGTTTTTTAAAGTTCAGAATCCTTTTGCCATGTAAAATCTTCCTAAATTAAATACTTTAAGTTTGGACTTTGTGAAGTGCTTGAAATGGGACACATCTGTGAAACTCTTGAGAGTGGTGGCCAGAAACATGGGCGAGGGTGGAAGGTTGTCTTCTTGACAGTGTGACTAGACTAAGAGATGTCCTGCATTCTTTGGCCGCTCGCTTATTGTGACTTAACTGCGGCTGGCCTCAATCAAAGGTTACAGTTCATTGTGCTGGAATATCCGAAGGGTAACAATGCAAGATCTCTCAATGTAACCTAGTAATATCTGGCCCCTCCTTAGAGTATTTGAGTAATAAACACTGAACAACCAATGATTTTACAGTTCATCAAAAGGAGCTATGATTATTATTAAAGAAAAGTGTGGTGGAAAAAGAGGACATTTTACTTTGTGCCAAGCATGATTTAAGCGCTTTTCTTCAACTTTTACATTTGAGATTCTAGGACTTGTCTACATATTTTCCCAACATGCAGCCTTAGGTTACAATACTGTTTCGTGTTCCTTTCTACTTTAAAGTCTGTATTAAACATTTTCTGTGCTTTAAAAAATATCAGTACATTAATTTTGCTGCATAGTCTTTTCATGTTACTAGACTAAAGTTTACTGGATTGTTGTACCTATTTTTTATGTAACTGGAAACAATATATTTAAAGAAGTAAAAGTCTTAAGATATAGTGTAATACCTTTCTAATTCTTAACCTTTTCTTTAACAGCTTACCCTTGAAGATAGCTTGAAGCTAAAATTCCTCTCCAGTGGTTTGTCCATTAGGATTTGGCCCCTGTCTTTGAGCGTCCGGGATTTCAGCCTGGGCACCCACAGATAGTCTCTTTCCCTGTGTCTGCTTTCGCCATTTAAGCTTCTGCTTTAGTTTGCCTCCCCCACCATCCCAACCATTTTATTAAGATATGATTTATGCATAATAAGATTCATTCATATAAAATGTACTAGTTTATCTTATTTGTTTATTTATTTATTCATTTGAACGAGCAAGCGGGAGAGGGGCAAAGAAAGAGGGAGACACAGAATCTGAAGCAGGCTCCAGGCTCTGAGCTGCCAGCACAGACCCCAACTTGGGGCTCAAACTCACAAGCCTCTAGATCAAGACCTGAGCCAAAGTCGGACACATAACCAACTGCACCCCTAGGCGTCCCTAGCTTTTCTTTTTAATCTCTACTTTCTGAGCTTCCCCTTTTCTTTCTCCATAACTAATAAGTGCGTAGCTTGCCACAGAAAACGACTTTTCTCTCCAAATGGTAAATGACACTGACCCATTTTATTTCCTAGTGTTTCCCTTCCCGTTGTGTATGTAATGGCATCGTTTGGCATTAGATGTAACTTGAGTTTCAGAAAATACATGTTTGCCTCCGTAGCTTTTGTGCTGTAGGCAGCAGTGTGAGACAGTGATGGGTAGTCATGAGAAATTGGTTTTTGGCCATTGTTTTTTGTGTTCCTTATATTGAACTGAGTACTTGTAACAAAGTCTGAAAGACGTTCAGAGAAGAGATTTAAAGTGTTTTTTTCCCCATAAATTCACAGATATGTGCAAAATGTCCATTTCTAGCCCTCATCTAGTGGTAAAAACCCAGCAAAAATTTAAAACCAGATCCAATGCATAAATCATTAAATAGGCAAATAAACCAAAAGAGAACCTTAAGTAGATTGGAGGGAAGGCAGGAATGGGGAGTTGTTGGTCGAAGGAGAAAACTTCCAGTTATAAGATGACCACGTTTTAGGGATCTAATGTACATGGTGGTGATTAGAGCTAATAATACCTTGCTATGTACTTGAAAGTTGATAAGAGAGTAGATTTTAAATGTTCTCATTACAAAAAAGAAATGGTAATTATGTGACGTGATGGAGGTATTAGCCAAGACTTAGTAATCATTTTGCAAAATATGTATCAAATCAAAACATCATATACTTTTAACTTACACATTTCATGTCCATTGTATCTCAGTAAAGCTGGGTGGGGTTAGGTTGGAGAGGATCTTATGACCAAAGAATTAAATGTGAAGATAGAGACAAACTGTTTGTATGGACACTTTAACCCTGTATGAGCTGCTGTGCCTTTTAAGTCTCTCTGCTAGCAAATTCCCATGATCTCATTTCAGAGAAAGCACAGGCTGACTTGACAGGACTGGTAAGTTTTATTGCTGACACATCTTGTCATTAATCAGTGGGAGAGTTCCTTAATATTGGTTAATAGGCACAAGTAAAAATTGGGTGAATACACACATTTAGGAATAGACCTTCCTCCTCCCTTTGCCCCTATTATCAACTCTATATATTAGTCTGACCACGCAGTGTTTGGATCCTAAAGGTTTTTAAAGCTCATCGTTTAAACTTCTAGTCGGGTATGGGGCGCCTGGGTGGCTCAGTCGGTTGAGCGTCCGACTTCAGCTCAGGTCACGATCTCGCAGTCCGCGAGTTCGAGCCCCGCGTCGGGCTCTGGGCTGATGGCTCAGAGCCTGGAGCCTGCTTCCGATTCTGTGTCTCTCTCTCTCTCCCTCTCTCTGCCCCTCCCCCGTTCATGCTGTGTCTCTCTCTGTCTCAAAAATAAATAAATGTTAAACTTCTAGTCGGGTAATTTTATTGACATGTCTTGTACTTAATTGTTCTTTCAGCTACTCCCTTCAGCAAGCTCAAGCTTTTTATACATTCCCATTTCAACAAATGATGGCTGAAGCTCCTGATATGAATGTTATGGACGAACAGCAAATGCCAGCGGAAGTTCCAGAACCAGTGCCTGCTCAGGAACCTGTACAAGGTAGTTTTCATCAGGATAGTTGAGAAAAGTAGCTATTGGATTGGCCAGCTTATGTAAGAAAGGGTTTAATGAAGAATTTTTATTTTATTTTAGTATTTAAAACGTTAACCACTTTTTAAGTATGTGCCAGGCACTGTGGTACATTTGGGGGAATAAAAGAACATGGATCCTGCCCTCAAATAGCTCATAATCTAGTAGGAGAAAATAGTAAGTAAACACATAGTATGCTTTAAGCACACAGTGGTGAAGAGGGGCACAGGGTGCTGTTAGAGCTCATAGGGTTGACACTAACTTGGACCGAGGTTCAGAAGCAGCTTCCCAGAGCTCTGGAAGTCAAGGGTGAGGAGACTATATCCCCATGAAGAATGGGGTGGGGAACATTCCTGGCCTAGGGAATAGCATGGGCAAAAGACAGATGTGAAGAATCATGACAGTTAAAAAGTAGTTATTCTGTGTCTTTGGGAGTCTGGTGTACAGCAAAAAAATAGTGATCAATGAGGCTGGAAAAGTGCCTTGTAACTCGAAGAATGTATGTTCTCTCCTGAAGGTGGTAGGGAGCTTTTGAGAGAATGGAAGCAGGGGGTGACTTAAACAGAGTCACATTCTGAAAGTCAGCCTGGGAAAAATTATAGAGGATAGAATGGATGGTAGGGAGTAAGGCAGAATTTGGAGGCAAAAAGTGGATTTGAGACTGAATAATCTGAGGGTGAAATGAGGGAGACCTGAGGGGATGGAGAGAAGAAGGTAATGGTTTTCTCCAGTGTAGCAGTATTGTATGAGAAATGTGTTCAAGAGTTTCATCTTATGATTCCAGAAACACATCTGACTCCACTGCATTGGAGATACCCCTGCCGATGACTCTCCTATTTTTCTGGGCTGGCAGCACTGGGACTTCCCAGCTACAGGCCAGTGGAGGTGGATCCCTTCGCGTAGAGAGTGGCTAAATCAGTGTGGGGTAGAAGAGAGGAAGGACAGGATGCTGGGTTAGGGAACTGCCTAATGGTAGTAGAATGGAGGAGGGGCCTAAGAAATTAAGAGAGATGTTAAACAAGGGTGAGAAAAGCACACCTTCCTATTGGGTAACTCTAGGTCAGTTGTTCTTGACTGGGGGTGTTTCCCGCCCCCCCCCCCCC